AAAGCAAAAGGAAAGGACAGCATAAGAGAAGGATTAATATGACAATATGCAGAGAAGCTTTTTACAGACAGGGGGATGTGGGTGATTTTGACATGGTGCTCTAGGCCTGCAGGGCAGTTAAGAAAAATAAAATAAAATCAGATCATGCAGGAAAGTCTATAAGAAGATCAGAGTTTATAATTTTTCCAGTGGAACACTAATTGTTCTGATATTGATCAGGGATGAATTTATGAAAACTAAAAGAAGAAAGGACTTTTTTCTTAAGAGGCAGGAAGACTGTTTCTTATGGAGCTGTTTGAAAGGTCTGGATGGTCAGAGGATTTTCAGGTCGTAATCTCTAGTAAAACGAGCCACATATGCTATTTCAACTTTAGCTTATTTGTTTTGTAATTTATTTATATAAACCAAATGCAGTCTCTGGTTTCCAGGGAAGTCCTAGTATCTAGACGGTTTTATGGCTTGGCAGACTGAGACCCCAAGAGAATGAATATTGGACAGAGGTCACTGAGCGAGTGAATGGATCAGCTGAGATTTAATCCCAGGGACCTCAACACCAGGGAACTGCCAGACTCGAAGGATGCCAATATCTGACATACTCGTGAGGTTCAAATCCTGGAAAAGCAATATTCCCATCTGACTACTGGAAGGCTACTTTTAGGGAATTGCAAGTGAAACCAACCTTTAGCCACGTTAGAAAAAGAAAGAGCTATTTAAGAAAGAATCTGCAACTCATCCAGGTTAAATCCAAACAGAAGCGAGGGCAACAGAGGCCAATGTGGTTAAGTAGGGATGTAGTGGGCGGTCCACTGTATAAGTAGAAGGCTTTTTAAAAATATAGACAAACTGGTAAGGAGGATTGGGAGATCCATAAAAATAAGCTGATGTAAGCTACAAGGATAATCAGAGGAGCAGAAGGAAACCTCGACTAAAATTACAGTGAATATTTCAGCTAAGAGTAAAGGATTCTGCAAAGTATAGTCACAACAGCCAGAAGAAACTGATCTATTAAAGGAATCAGTAGGAATTAGAGGCAAGAGATAAAGAAAAAATAGAAGACTTTGTTATACAGGTTTGTTTGTGGAATGGAGAGTAGTCTAAGGCTCTGACCCTGCAAACACTTATGAACAGGCTTAACTTTATGCATGTGAATAGTCCCTTTGAACACAACTGGACTAAACTGAGCTCAGTGAAACTACTCATGCGTATAAAGTTAAATACCTGCATAGTTCTTTGTAGGACTGGGGCCCAAAGCTGCAATTGTATTACAGTATTGTGGGGAGGAGTGTAATGTGCACAGAAGAGTGGAAATGGATAGTATTTATAATATACATCTCTATAGCACCCATCATTATTGGACCTGGGTGCTTGGGGGGTGGGAGTGCAGGTGGGGTGGAACGGCCCTTCTTGAGGCAAACAAAGTGTTAAGAAAAGATAGTACACATTTCTCAAGTCTTAAAGAAAATGACATCAACAATTAGTGAGACAAACTGCTTTTTTGAGAAGTTCTCTGATACCAGCTCCGATATTTGGAGGCTCTCAGGGGACAGGATATTAGTAAATCTAACATTATTATTCCTATTTTATTTAGGCACTAATATGCTCAGCATTGTACAAGACAAATAAGACATTCCTTGCCCTGAGGAGGTTACAGCTTAAAAGCCAATCAAAGATTCAACAAGATGTATGGAGAAACCCAGAGGAGATGCTAATTTAATGGGTTTATTTTTAGCTCATTCATGGAGTCTCTCTCTCTCTCTTTTCTTTTTATTTATTAAAGATCCCACTTCCACCCTGATATACCTATCTCTTCCTTTAATGGTGTTGAGACCAGGGCAAAACTGGGCCCAACATGTCTATCAGATATACTGCAGAAAGTTATTCTGGATTTGTTAGGTTACGAGTTGTAGAGAAAATATTAGAATAGAAACAATGGGGAGAGATTTAGTTAGGGAGCCCACCTTGAAAAACTTAATCCGATTAGAACTTGTTCCTTATCATCTAACTGAGAGATGGGGCAGAGCTGACAAAGGCAAAGCGTGCAGAGGCAGGGAGGAGGGTTAATGCTTTGCTGAAGTCCAGCATTGGCTTATACAAAGGCTCGTGGTGCAGAAAGTTCAATAGTTTGTTGAATTATTTTAAAAATTGCTTAAGCAGGAAACTGCAACCAGCTTATATATGTGACATATTTAACTGGAAAGAATCTTCTACTGGGGAGCAACAAATCCAGAGACAGGAAAGAGTAAATAGCACAGATGAGAATTCTACCGACTCAAGAGATTTGGGGTTGAGAGGAGAGAACTAGAAAGAGGTTGTCTAAGTATTTCAGTCTAACCCAACTGTAAACTGTGGGAAAGAGGGATGAGACAGGAAATGCTGGTTTGCACCAGTTGAAGGACACTTTGGTGATAACTACTGGAATAGATTACTATGGTCCCCTTTCCATGGGAAAGCTTTGAATGCCCTGGAGAAGGCACTATGCTGGCAAAAGCAGAAATAGTCTCATTTTAAGAGGAAATGTGAAAGAGGGTGAAGCTAGCAGAAGAATTATTTGGAGATCGCCTACTCTATTAGAAGGACTTACATGTATGCAATAGCTGGATGAGGTGAGGCAGAGAATCCAGATTCAGAGAATTCAGTCTTAAAGTCATGATAACTGGGCACAACTGTTTGATTCTGAGAATAATGGGTCAGACCCCAAAATCCTTACTCAGTCCTTTCCATGGCCAGCTCCCCAGTGACTTCAGTCAGACCTTGGCCAGTGTCAGGATTGGGCCCAATACATACAATAGGTGGATGAGCTCTCACAAAAGGTTATCAAAGCAAAGAGTACACGGGTGTGCAAACCCAAGAGCAGCGAGTGGGAGTGAGTGGAAAAGTATCCACAAGCAAGGAGGCAAAGGTTTCACTAGGCCTAGTAGCCTTTTTCTGCCTAATCCTAATAATTCATCATACATCATTTCCTTGCTACAGTTAAAATGACTAGAATCTGTATTTGTCTTCAAATATTCCAGCAGTTCCCAGACAAATTACAGCACCACATCAATTATAAGAGTGAAACATCAGAGGGGTAGCTTAACATGGGAAGGGAAATAATGCATTTGCAATTCACTCTAGATTAGTCCAAAGCCTGCAGTGCTGAATGCACTTACTCTGAGAATTTTCTCAGAAGATAAACCTAGAGTGTATTTCACTTATAAATCACAAAAGACACTTATTTGGCAAGAGTGACCCCTGCTCATATACAATAAATCGTGAACTTCAACAGTCCCTAATGGATTTTGAGTCAGCGCCACAGACAGCTAAGCCCAGGGCCTGTGTTTCAGGATTCCATAGCTGTGCCAAAATATGCCTATAAATTATTAACATCTTCAGCACAGTGTCATCTGTGCCGTTTGAAATAAAAAAGACATTCTGTGTCTCCGCCTGTCATTAAAAAAGCGATAACCAATTCATCAAAGCAACACACCTTTCCTTTTCCCTGCCAGAATAAATCACTTATCCCACACACACTCTCTTCAAACTATCTTCCCAGAACTTTAAAGACACTTTTGTTCATACCTGCAATGCTGCAATAGAAACAAACCCATTTTTCAAAATCAGAAACAAACAAAACAAAACATAATCCACATGCTACAGGGACAAAGATCCAATTTGCATGTAGAAATGTAAATCAAGCAGATAACAGGGAGAAAAATAGCTCTGCTTTCATTTTGCTATGCAGCAGTATTGCAGGAGCACTGGGCGCAGAAATTTCAAGTTTTCAATCCTTTAATGTTCAGTCTCTTGTACTTTCCAATCCTTAATACTGCATTTCCACCCCTGTTAACCTTTATTTTTATCTCCACAGTTACAGAATAGTCATGTTTGTTTGCAGATGCTTCATCACTAATGAAAATGTGCAGCTGCCAGGACATTCTCTAATGCAGAGCAGCTAATTAGCTGTCAACTATGACACTAATTTCTCAGAACTATGCTGTTCTTTTAAAATTATATTAAAATAGAACTGCTGGATCCAAGTGTAACAACTTCAAACCAACCTGCACATCAATCATTTATTATCAGCCAAGGAATTTCAATAGCATTGTATAGAGGGGAAAATTAAAATCTGCTAGAAGCAGGTAAGAAACAGATTTAAAACATTGTCCTCAGTAAAACTGAAGACTAAAAGTGCCTGGTACTTCCTTGGGGTGTTTGCATTTTATCCTGAAAAGTTAAGATAAGCCTTGAAAGGCAGCATTTATTAGCATAGCCATCGTTGCTTACCACTAGCTTGTTAGAATTGATTCTGAATAGCCCTATACTGAGTGATACACACGATTATATTTTTACTAGTTAAATTCAAGCTAGTAAAACTCATAGGAAACTTTATATAGATCATTACAGTTTTGGACCAAGATTGGACATCTACTGTGACAGTGCATCAAAACAAGACATAGGACAAGCACTAAATAAATCCTAACTGCTTCTCAGAGAACGTGCCAAACCTACAATAAAGTAGCCCATGCTTTAGATAAACTAATGAGGTTACACTTCTCACTGTAATTGTGCAGCTGTTCCAACTGGCCTCTGAGGACTGGATGGCTTCTGATGTTTATTTCCCTTTCCTCAACTCTTTCATCTACCCACAGATAATAATTAATAGAAAATCTTGCCCTGTTTTGCATGAGAAGGGTAGAACTGTGTGGGAGGCCCTCCCACTCTCCCAGCCTCCCTCCCCTCAAAAAACCAAACAAACAAACAAAAACACCTTATCCAGAAAAGCAGAAGAGCCAGAGATTCCATGAAGTCCACTAGGGACTTCGTGGATTATTGTTAATCAATGTTACATGGAAGGCACTCAAACCCTGGTGTGATGGGCACCAGTACAAATCTTTAAAGGCACATACATTTAAGCAGCATCCCCTCTGTTTGCTTATGATAGTTGGCTGCCAGGACCCGTTTCAGCCCCCACAAGCAATACTTATGGATGGCAAACAGTGAGCAGTGATTTGAGACGTTACCTTGGCGGCTACTGAAGAGTTGGGTTTCTCTAGAAGATCCCAGAGTTTTTTCCTCTTGTCGGCGCAGCAGGTGTTATCGAATTCCTCCCCTTCCCTTTCCCTCAGCGTCTCGGCTTCTCTCTTCAGCTCCTCGTTCATCTGCTCTTTCTTCTGGTGGTACCTGGCCTGGCAGCAGGACTCCAGGTAGATCTCGTCGATCCCCCAGTAGTCCAGTTCTTGGCTGAAGGACAAGGCGCACATCTCCTCCATCATGTGCAGCTTGCCCGTGCGGTAGAAGTTCAAGATGGAAGTGAATGCCCCCGGGTGCCGGTCAAAGAAATACTCGTTCTCCTCCAGGTTATAGTCGTCACAGATCTCCATGAGGGACTCGTGCGTGTTGAAGTCTCTCAGTTTGCCCAGCCTGGTCCGGGGCAGCCTGTCCAGGGTTCGCCAGAGAACTTCATGCGCCAGGCCCCCCACGTTGAGTTTGACCCTCCGGGAGCAGGCCTTGCTCCGAACGATCTCCATGGGGTCCGGAGGCAAAGAGGTAGAGGACCGAGATCCATGCTTGTTCATGCCCGCGGGCATCGCTGCCTCTGGAAGGCTCCGCGGGGCCGGGCACTCACGCTTCAGAGCCGGCGGGCTTCACCTGTTCTCCTTCCCCTCCATGCCGAAGAGCTGCAAGAGAGAAGCCAAAGCCGCACGGGTCATTCCCCCTGCCCGCCGGCGCCGGGCGTTAATCAGAGCGGCCAAGAGCTCCGGCAATCGGCTCCAGGGGCAGCGGCTGTGGGACCGCGCTGGCCGCTGTTCGGCCTCGTGGTGCTGAAACCGGCCCGCTCGGGGGAGGGGAAAAGCCGCTGTGCACGCGGGGGAGGCGGCCCCAGGGGCAGGGGGCACCAGGCGCTGGGGCACGCCCCGGGGCGAGACTCGTGGGGTAACACTCGCCTTTCCCAGGGCTACAGGCGGCCTGGCAGAGGGGCTCCAGGCGAAGGGAAGGCGCTGAGCGCGGCTCTGCCTTGGTTTGTGGAGGGCTGCGAGGAATAAGAAACACAGATGGGGGCAATCCCCCCCTCCCTAGCCCCCATGGGCTTTAGCCGGACTTGCGGGAGCCAGGACCATTATTCTAGGAGGCCACGGGAGAGGTCTGGCCACACAGACACTAACCCGGCTGGGGGGACACGCACAGTTCCCCCGCACACACTTCTGTGGTGACATGCCCCCGGGATAGCCACGCCGGAAGCGAGGGATAGTTACTCAGCTCTAAAGTCATGACAGGATCTGTGTTTTCTCTTTGCTTTCCGATTGCTTCTCCCCCTCCCCCCAGATCCTCCAGGTTTCTTTTGTTAAACCCAGGTTAAGGAACCGTGAACTTAATATATATATATATATATATATCCACAACCTTGTGTGGTGTTCAGGCCAAATCCTCCCGGGCTGTTCGCAGAAACCTGCAAGCCTCCAGTCCGGTCCTTTATTCCTCATCTGTTACCTGGTTATAAATTTAACCCAAAGACGTCAGGGATATAGGCTGCCGCTAAGGATTTACGTGATGACACGTAATTACGCCTCCTGCCTGAAATGCACAGTCCTCGGCAGCAAGAAAGTCTGGGGACGGGAGCAGCTACCGTAGATCGGAGCATGCATTGTATAGCGGGTGCTGAGAGCTCGTCCAAACGAGGGGAGCGGCTCTGTAGGAGACAGGGCTTCTTGCCATAAAGGGGGGGCGCCCCAAGATGTAGGGAATAGATTATGCACGTAGGGTCAAGAGGAACTCTGTTCCCAGCTACAGGCTGCCTGCATGGCTAGTTCTCTCGCTCAAATGCAGATGCTTTTTATAACTCTCCGCTTGTGAATCTCCCGGAGGAGATTGGATTGGGGGGAGGGGAGAGGGGGATGGATTGATTGCCAGTCACTTTAAACAACGCATTTCACTTTTGGGAGACTCTCCCAAGGACTCTCCCCCCTTCCCTCCCTTCCCTCCAACATAAATCAACGGAGGGTCAGTAAATAATAATAAACCCAGCACACACTTATTACGAAAGCAGCTGCCTTGCAACGTCCCCTGGCACTGTTGCTTACACAAGACAGCATTAAAATAAACCCAGTACAGATGGGAAGCAGTTCACACTGTCCTCCATGCCCAGCCTTCCAGCCCTATAAGGATGTCAAGGGTTCACGGGCGCGCTCTTTCGCCTCTCATAGACAGTGCAGGGATCCTGGCAATCCATCAATCAAAGACCGACCGTGTCTTTAAACAGCAGCCGGGTCTGCTCCTTGACCGTGACCCTGGCTAGAGCCATAAACTCCGACAAACGCTCCTAAACCTGCTTCCCCCTTTTCCCAGGCGAGCTGGGCTACCTACCTTCTTCGCCAAGGATCAAAGCCGGGCAGTCGGCGGAGAACAGGGAAACCAACGTGTGGCTACATCCTGCATCAGCCAGCAAGCGATCAGCAGCTGAGGCCGTTTGCACTGGCTCCCCGGAAGCCTTAGGCAGAAAGATCACAGTAATATTCCAGTATGTCCAAGAACCCGAGGGCTGGGGAAGGGAAGCAAGGCAAATGGGTCCACAGACGCCTGAAAGCTGCAGATTATTCCCAGGATCCTTTTGCAAGCAGCTTCCCAAGGCCTGCACTTGGATGAGACTCTCTCCCTCCGCCCCCGTCTACATTCCAAGATGGAGCCACATTTTCTCGTTTTAAAGATACAAAGGAAAGCGCCTCTCTTTCCTTGTGCTGTCTCTTAATGGAGATCAACAAGTCTGGTCTGAACCTCCAGCTTTTCCTTGCAATTCTGGCCCAGCGTTGTTTAGAGTGAATGGGAAGGTGGAGGTTGATGAGAGGAGGGCAGCGCCACCATGAGCTGGGATGCAGCATTGCAGGGGAAGTTAACACTTGCCTGGCCTGGCTGCACCAGCCTGGGCATGATTTACAAGGAAGGTGGAGCCTGGAAGAACTTTTATTACCGGAATTTAGGAAGAGTGTGGGTAAGAGAGAGATTCCTGAGCATTTCTCCTTAAGAGAAGCTGCATCTCAGGTCTTTTATTCACATACACACCCAATCACACACACACACACACACACACACAACAAAACTCCCTCTGTTCCCAGACAAAATGATACCACAAAAAGCCAACAAGGATTTGTGTCAGAATAGTAACTGTTAGGAGCTGAAAGCAAAGCTATATTGATAAACGTATCATGGCCTTTCCTGTTGCCCTGGCTTGTTGAGCTAGGACCTACTGGGAGTTGAGCTGTTAGATATGCACCAGGTGGGGTTTTCTCCTTGTCTGTCATCTAGCCCTTTGCAACAGTGTAATGTGTTGTTACTCTGACTTCAGCAGGAGTTTGGTCTGAGTGAAGACTGCCTGATTTCCTCCATGGTCCCTATATCCCAGAATATATCTATATTCTACTAGATCTTAATTGTTGCATGCGTAAATTGATACTGAAACATGGGGAGGAGGCAGATCTCAGATGTTGGTCTGGTTTATGAACTCCACTAAATAAAGCAAGAAGGAAATTTTCTTGGCCACGGGGGTAATACTGAAGAAACAACTCTGAAACATGTGGCACTACCAAGCATCCCCACAACCTAAAAATTACTTAGAAAAGTTAGATGCCTGCAATCACCAGGGCCTGATGAAATGCATCCTAGAATACTCAAGGAGCTAATAGAGGAGGTATCTGAGCCTCTAGCTATTATCTTTGGAAAATCATGGGAGACAGGAGAGATTCCAGAAGACTGGAAAAGGGCAAATATAGTACCCATCTATAAAAAGGGAAATAAAAACAACCCAGGAAACTACAGACCAGTTAGTTTAACTTGTGTGCCAGGGAAGATAATGGAGCAAGTAATTAAGGAAATCATCTGCAAACACTTGGAAGGTGGTAAGGTGATAGGGAACAGCCAGCATGGATTTGTAAAGAACAAATCGTGTCAAACCAAACTGATTGCTTTCTTTGATAGGATAATGAGTCTTGTGGATAAGGAATGGATGTGGTATACCTAGACTTTAGTAAGGCATTTGATACGGTCTCGCATGATATTCTTATCGATAAACTAGGCAAATACAACTTAGATGGGGCTACTATAAGGGGGGAGCATAACTGGCTGGATAACCATACTCAGAGAGTAGTTATTAATGGTTCCCAATCCTGCTGGAAAGGTATAACAAGTGGGGTTCCGCAGGGGTCTGTTTTGGGACCGGCTCTGTTCAATATCTTCATCAACGACTTAGATATTGGCATAGAAAGTACACTTATTTAGTTTGCAGATGATACCAAACTGGGAGGGATTGCAACTGCTTTGGAGGACAGGGTCATAATTCAAAATGATCTGTTCAAATTGGAGAAATGGTCTGAGGTAAACAGGATGAAGTTTAACAAAGACAAATGCAAAGTGCTCCACTTAGGAAGGAACAATCAGTTTCACACATACAGAATGGGAAGAGACTGTCTAGGAAGGAGTACGGCAGAAAGGGATCTAGAGGTTATAGTGGACCACAAGCTAAATATGAGTCAACAGTGTGATGCTGTTGCAAAAAAAGCAAACATGATTCTGGGATGCATTAACAGGTGTGTTGTGATCAAGACACGAGAAGTCATTCTTCCACTCTTCTCTGTGCTGATTAAGCCTCAGCTGGAGTATTGTGTCCAGTTCTGGGCACCGCTTTTCAAGAAAGATGTGGAGAAATTGGAGAGGGTCCAGAGAAGAGCAACAAGAATGATTAAAGGTCTTGAGAACATGACCTATGAAGGAAGGCTGAAAGAATTGGGTTTGTTTAGTTTGGAAAAGAGAAAATTGAGAGGGGACATGATAGCAGTTTTCAGGTATCTAAAAGGGTGTCATACGGAGGAGGGAGAAAACTTGTTCACCTTAGCCTCTAAGGATAGAACAAGAAGCAATGGGTTTAAACTGCAGCAAGGGAGGTTTAGGTTGGACATTAGGAAAAAGTTCCTAATTGTCAGGGTGGTTAAACACTGGAATAAACTGCCTAGGGAGGTTGTGGAATCTCCATCTCTGGAGATATTTAAGAGTAGGTTAGATAAATGTCTATTCGGGATGGTCTAGACAGTATTTGGTCCTGCCATGAGGGCAGGGGACTGGACTCGATGACCTCTTGAATCTATTCTCTATATTCTTCCCCTTTGCCTGTTATTTGCTTCCTTCCTCACTCCCGGTCTGTATGTCAATTTAGACTGGGAACTACTCAGTCTGTAAAGCACTTGCATTGGGTGCTACATACATGAATAATAATTAAGAGATTAATCCTCCTGCTAATAGTGTTCTCCACTTATTACTATGCTTCTCTCACCATCCAGTCTCTCACCCTGGTACTATCAACTAATTAATACCTATATGTTAACCTATTATCCTTATGACTGAGTACTTCAAATCTTCTTCACATGTAAATGCCACTGAAAATCAAGACCGTGCCATACACACAGGGCTTGTAGGGTCAGGACTTATTATCTCTAAAGGAATAATACCTAACTCTTACACAGCACTTTTCATTAGTACAGCTCAAAGCATGTTACAAAGGAAGTAAGCATCATTATCTACATTTTACAGATGGGGAAACTGAGGAATAGAGAAGTGAAGTGACTTGCCCAGGATCACCCTGCAGCCACTGGCAGAGCTGGGGATAAAACCCCTCCTGAGTTCAGTCCAGTGCTCTATTCACTAGGCCACACTGCCTCAAAGAAAGGCTATCACTGTCATTAAAGCACATGATCTTCAGTCAGAAGATCTGGGTTCTGTTCTTGCTTCTACCGCAGGCTGTATGTGAGACCTGGGGAAAGTCATATCAACTTTAGGGCTCAGTTTATCCATCTGTAAAATGGGGATAATAATAATACGCTGTCATGCATGAGATGGTCAGGCTAAATTATTAAAGTTTGGAAAGTGCTTTGAAATCTTCAGTTAGAAGGTACTATGAGAACAGGTTATTTGCTTGTGGTACCATCTATGAAGTCCGAGGCACATAATCTTACATTATAATAAAGTCAGGCCTCTGTTTGTGTAAGATGAAGCATCTCTGAAGGATCGTAAGCATTAAATGGTACAAATTCAAATCGAATGGAGATATCCTTTTTCTAACTAAACAGGCCCCACTCTTTCAAATGGTAGCCCAATGCTAAAGTGGCACGGTCATCTGTTCCAAATGCCTAACAATTTCCCTGTAAGAATCATTTTCAACTTTGACCCAATGAAAGTAGGATGGAAAAGCCCTCCCTTGGGAGACATAAAACATGATGGCTGGACAGCATCAACAGATACTGGTCTTTCACAGGCATCCTATCCTGAAATGCACCAAATTTGGCTTAGAACAGATCATGGAGGTGCATAACACATTTGGTGACCTCTATGCTGTCCAACCAACAGCATGAGAACTAACCTCTGCCTGTTTAAGGGGGGAGTAGGAAAATGACAAATAATATATAAGACAACAAATCAGATTCAATGCAGATAAATCTTTAGGCGAGAGTCAACCCTTACTTTTATCACCAGAGCATTTATAACCTTCTACACCACTCTTATGACAGTGCTAATATCATTCACATGTTACTGTAGAAACTATGGAGTACTAGCTGAACAGATCATTGCAAGAAGGGGAAAACGGATCCACAACAAAATAGCCTGAGACCAAGTTGGCAACACCATTGTTGATTGTTCACATTAGACTCCTTCCTGCCCCTTACTACTCAAATGAATAATCTCACACTGGAGTCAACGTGACTTCTCATATAAAAGATGTAGGATCCGGCCCTAAATAAGGAAGAAGGATTGCCAAACTGATTACACCTGAAAGAGTCTATTCAGACAGAATTTCTATTTCTGTAGATTTGCGTCCTCCCAGAAACTGCTCACTGGGTCGGCTCAGGCAGTTTGCCAGCAAGGGGCAGTATAGGGATGAAATAATATAATACACGCCACATCTTCTGGCAAAGTTCTCTAACCCGAGAGCACATAGTCTATCTGGATAACCTCTGTCAGTTGATATTTTTTATACCCCAAACATCACAAATCTTAATTTGTGGTTTATTCTTTCAAGGCCCCTGGAGCCAGCCACACACTTGAACAGCAATCATCGGCAAATCCCGTTCATTGCCAGGCATTTCTAGTTATTAACCAGGAGATTCCTTAAACCTCAAATACTTCAGAGAACATGTCCAGTATATGGTTCAAATGCATTCCCCTGGGTTTACCATTAACTGAAATTATCTATCTATATATCCAGATTTTACCTGGTAAGTGCCAAGGAGGGTAAACCAGCCTCCATGGCTTTCAGCACCTTAATGGAATATTCTGAGGCTACCTGTGGAAATATCCTGCCGCTGGTCAGCCCCCCCAAATGCCATTGACTCCCATAGGGGTTCCACAGCTGGCAGTGTGAAAGGGCTGCCCAGTTTAAAATCATTTCCAGCATCTCCCAGCCCATTCCTGTGGGGTTGAGGAAAAGGTTGATTTACACGGCTTTGCTGGACTTAACATAAACAATACAGCTGTGAGGAAACAAAGGACTCCTTAATATAAGGCAACTCCAAGGTCTCTCATGTCAATGAATGATGGTTCTCAGACTGTGGTCTGTAGAACATCTCTGGGCAGACCATGAGGTACTGTCTGCTCACATGATACTAACATTCAAATGTATTAAAAGACGTCACATACCAAACACTTCTCTGGCATTGCTGTAGTTGTCCCAGAGATGTCATGCACTTGTGAATGGGAGAGGAAGTCACCCACAGGGCACTGTCCCTCTGTTAAAATGTGTTTCTCATTATGTAAATATTGGGAACTCTTGCCCTCTTAGTCAT